GAAGATTACACAATAAAGGTCAACTATTGCATTTTGTCCCAGCCTCTGTCACTTTTACTGGACGGCTTGGACTTCCCAAAACGGAAGAAAAAATATATAAAGCCATGTAACATAAAAAGACAGGAACTCAAATACTAATCATTGCATATCTTAAGCACTTTCAGTTATCAGAATTAAACATTTTGATGCAATTGTGGTCCTTTAGCTGTTATAAGGCCTTAGCTTTGCATCTGTATGTTCTTCTTCACTTTCATAGGAGGATAGTTAGGATAGCAGCATGCCCTGTTTCCCCGAAAATAAGACCTACCCTGAAAATAAAACCTAGTACTATTTTTGGGAATTGCTAAAATATAAGACCTACCCCGAAAATAAGACCTAGTTGTGACCATTCCCAGGGCCGGTGGTGGCATAAGGGGAACTTGAAGAGCCGCGGGAGAGGCAGGAGAGAGTCAGCGGTGCCAACGAAGCCAGCCCTAGATGAAGCGAGGCGGCACCGGGGGGAGCAGAGCCGCATAAGCAGATGCCTCCTCTATAGCGCCGCCTCCTGTCACAGGTGGAGTGATACCAAATGCACTCCGCCTGCGAAGAATCGATAGTGAAAGTGTGCTTCGCCCATTCTGGCCAGCTATTGGTTACCAAATTGCTCTAGCAAAGGTTCGGCACCCCTTATTGTCCTGATCACCATATTTGTGTACATGAATACATGTAGACTGTTGTACATGAATATGTATGGATTGTAGTACATAAACAAATTTAAAAAATAAGACCTACCTCGAAAATAAGACCTAGTGTGTTTTTTTGAGCCAAAAAAAATATAAGACAGTGTCCTATTTTCGGGGAAACACGGTAGTAGGATAACGAGAATAGTTCCACATTCCACAGCATTTAAATTAGAAAGCTTAACAGAACAAGATGTGTTGTGTAGCCTGAACAAATACTCAGCTAATACATCTTAAAAAGTTTTAAAAGGTGTTTCTAACAAGGGTCTGGTATGAAAGTTAAAGGGGACCCCACGTTTCCCCCCCTTTTTGGGGCTGGGTTTCTACCTTAAAATGCCTACCAGACCTAAAGGGCCTGGTATGGATTTTGGGGGGAACCCCACGCTTTTTTTTTCCCTCTTCTGCAGATTGTAAAAATAATAAAAATAATTTTTTTTGCTCAAATGTCACTTTGCAGCAACGAACAGACGAAATGAAACAACAATTGGTACAGACTACCGCTGATCAGGTGATAATTTCATTGTTGCCAGTGTTGGCGGAGAGCAGAGACACAGAACACTTCCCACTGCTCTGAAAGCAGGGTGAGCACAGACAAAAAAAAGGTTGTGGTTCTCTGAATATTGACATTCATATTTACAAATCTAAGGTTAGATTATCACTTGATCGTCACCATCTTTGGACACTTTTCATGCTTTTTTGTGTGTGATTGATGCTTTTTGTGCATTTTTAAGCTTGAGCGTTTGCCAATGGAAATCTAGTTACTAGGATGAGTAGACATGTTAGGTATGAAATTGGCACATTGTCCAGGAGCTCCCTTTAAAAGTCTTTTGGGTCCAAAAATGCACGATCATGCCTGCAAAGAAGCTCCTGTACTTTTTGCTCCTGCAAATTATTTAGATGTGAATGGATACAAAAGGATAACATAGAAATCTGAGTGTGATTGTTTCTACCATAGAGGGTTTTATTTAAACATAAATCAGCTTTGTCTCTGAAATGATTTACTAATTATTAAATCAACTATAGAAACTGTTATTTAGTATTTTATTTGTCAAAATCATATACATTGCAATGTGTATTAAATATGTATAGTAATGCAAGAGGCATTCAGGCTATTAAAATAGGGGAAGAACAATGTTTAAAGTGAGGTAAATATCAGCAGCCCATCAATAACAATCTTTCTTTTTTTCTGCGTAAGGGACCAGTAAACTAGCTGGTTGTTATGGGTCACTGTGCTTTGCATATAATTATTACTTAACTTGATAAGCATTGGTCCCATCCAAGCATATGCATATTTGATCAGCAGCTTGGCAGCTGATTAGCGTAAGCCATATTACGTAAGAATGCCCTAACCAAGTTGTAGCTATAGCTAAAAAAAGCAGATGAGTGAGGTAGGTAGTAATAAAAAATGTAATTTTAGAAATGGTAAATAAAGTCTTATTGCACTGCCTATGGTCACTCCCAAGTTAAAGTGTATCTAGCTCCAAAACCAAAATGTAATATATTGCAGCTTCCAAGTCCTAAAATGTGGAGGCTGCATTAGTTTCCTTCTTTTATTTTTTTTCCCCCTTTATTTTTACCTGGTGATCTTGCCAGTAACAGACAAATCCTGTCCTAAGAGGACAACACTCATTCACCGTACATTCCTGTGCTGTACATGGAAAAACAGTGTTGTCATTCTAGACTAATATCCTAATTTGAACTACAAGTACCTCCCCCCTCTCCTTATATTTAGGGATATGCCCAGGTTAGGACTGAACCCGGTACAAACTGAAGTTCCTCCAAACCCAGAAGGAAGCTCCTTCCACTGCTGCCCAGTCAGCTGCAGGCGGGGAGTTCTCCTCCCGCAGCTGCACGTAACCAAAGGAGTGGTGTGCTCTGAAGTCATTTATGGCCACATGGGTATATTTGGTCAATGACATTGCCATATTAAGGTAAAAATCTCACCGCAAGCATCCTGACCCTTTTTTATGTCCTACTGCGGAGTGGGGAATAACGTGGCTCCCAGCTATTTGGACCCATCTCACTTCCATGTTCGGAGGAGCTCAGTTCAAACCAGGTTCAGCCCGAAGCTGAGCTCACCCATATTCATTTGCACTACATGGGGGGGAGATCTTTGGTACATCACAGATGAGAACTGGGAATACCGATAACAGTTCAGTACACAGGAAGTTACAAGGACACTGAATTTATATCAGGATCAACAATATATTCCATTTTTGTTCTTCGGTTTAGCTATATTTTACCGATATACAAAAAGCATATACCTAGATGGTAAATTACTTTTATTAGGGTTTACTCATTGAAGAACCTCTGATGAGAGAATCCAATTCCTGATTTATATGCCGCATACTATTTTAGAAAATGACTGCTCCATCAAAGCCAAACCGCACACGTTTTGTTTTACAAGAGTCCACATAAACAACCTGCGTACTTTTAACAGAATTTATACTTTTGAAATAGTTATTTCCGGGAGATTTGAAAATATTGTAGTTCACTTTTTCTTTTGAACGTTTTGGTTTAAAATGGGCTGGCCTCGACCAGTACCATTGCCATGTTTACAAACTGTTGTTCTGTGTCATAATAAATAATTAGGGATGCACCAATACCGGTATTTCAATATCGAGTACGAGTAACAATATTTTCGCCGATACCGAATACTGATACCGGAAGTCCCATTAAGGAAGTCAGGCGGCGTGTAATGACTCGCCGTCCGGCTTCACTATTAGCAGGGAAGCCAAAGGTGACGAGAAAACATGGAGCCGGCTTTCTGGCCAATCAGGAAGCCGGGCGCTGTGAAATGACGCGGTACCCGGCCTCCTGATTGGCCGGGAAGCCGGCTCCATGCTCCCTCGTCATGAGGTGACGAGGGAGCATGAAGCCAGTTTCCCGACCAATAAGGAAGCCGGGCAGCGAGTCATTGGCCGGGAAGCCAGCTCCATGCTCCCTCGTCATGAGGTGACGAGGGAGCATGAAGCCAGTTTCCCGACCAATAAGGAAGCCGGGCAGCGAGTCATTACACGCAGCCCAGCTTCCTGATTGGCTGGGAAGCCGGCTCCATGCTGCCCCGTCACAAGTTCCTTCCAAACTGACTCCTTTAGAACATATACTGTATATTTGCAACAGATTTGGAAAAATTATATCTATTTCAGAAGCACTATTGCAGCTGAACCTCAGGCGTGTGTCTAAGAAAACACCACTTAAAGCTTCCTCTAATTCCCTGTACAGAAGCACTTAGACTTGGAAAGAGCGTGCCAGCACAAGAAGCAAAAACAAATTCTTCTGCAGTGCATCTGTGCTAGAAAAGAACAGGAAGAGAGAGCAGAGTGATGACCTTGTCAGTTTACTGCTGCTTCTTCCTAGTCTGATCAGAAAGCTGGGGTGAGTTTTTACCAGTGTTCTTGACCATGCTGCACTGCTGATTCATTAGAAGTTGAGGATCTGGCTGAACTGCCTGGCACAGCTGGCTGGATGATAAGACTAGCTGAACAGAATTAAAAATATATTGGCAAGTAAAACAGTTTATGTCTATACAGTGATTTAGTTGTTTTCCTGCAGTTCAGCTTTAAATGCAAATTTATTTAAAGTGGACCTCCACACATATAGAAAACCTATCATCATAGACGAGGATGCTGTAACCCTTGGCCCATTCCAAATTCCTGGAGGCTTCAGGGCAGTCTCCCCGCAGCCCCTAATCTTGTGTATGCATAATGGGGGGGGGGGGCACTCAGGGTTACCAGGTACTGACAGCCGTCTCCCAAATACAAGATAGTGATATAATTATGTTCAAGAAAGGAAGGTGCTACAGCCACAACCAGTAGAGCAAATTTGCACAAAGAGGAAACAATTCCAAAGCCAAAAGAGTAAGGGCTGAAAATCATGGAGGGCTTTTTAGGCAAGTATGGGACCTTGGCTTTGTAACGGTTTCCTCTTTCTCCCAAATACAAGATGGCACACAGGAACTGCAACCTTGCAAAGAGGAAAACACTAGACTTCATGTGCTGGTAAGTATGTGTTCTTTACAAGTCAGCTGCTGACTTTTAGTTTTGGAAAGGCCTGGTGAAGTTCCTCTTTAAGTGTAGTCTGGTTATTTAACATTTACATAAAAAACTGTTTTAAAAAAGCAGGTTATGCAATTTTAAAAGGTTCGGATGTCTTCTTGCTTGTCACTTAAAGTCAGTGAATAATATTATTAACTGAATGTCCTTTACAAGTGGCTAGGGCCCCATGTATTCAGGCAGTGCAGCAAAAATATCTTAAGAAAAAAGTCATTGTCTCTGTACCGAGTTCCAACACCACAGAGTGTACATCATCCATGTTAGCTCTGTCATTCTCCCTTCATCCATAACTAGCCAGCATGGACAATTTGTATTCCATCACTTGGACATCAATGCATGCATGTATATGTGTTTTCCTAAGCCCTTTCCTGGAGGGTGGAGGAGGTCATCTTAGAAATCCTCTTTGCTTTTTCCATTTACACAGAACTATGCACTAGCCAAACAGCAGTGAGGATACTTCAGAGTTGCGTTCTTGTTGGTCATCGTCATTCCCATGTACACTTCTTCTTGTCTTTGCTTAATTTTTGAAGTTTCAACAACTGCTTCAATTCAGAATCAAATCCGCCTTCCTTTTCTACAGTGCTTAGAATCTGAAAAAGATGGGAAATCATTACATATGGTAACTGCTTTTTTACATTCCTTACAAGCAGTCTAGATCAGCCTTTTTCAACCAGGGTGTGATGTGAAGGGGGCTTCTGATGTGAAAACAGGGTACACTGTTGTGCAGAGGGAAACTTCATGTCTGATTTGCTTTTTTCTTGGGTCCCCCCCCCCAAAAAAAAAAATCCACACCAGACCCGTCTAGGATAATGGTTTAGTATGGATCACGTGTTATTTTTTTACTTTTAGGTTTTTTACATTTAAGGCTGGGGTGCCTCAAGACTTGCATACTTTCAAAAGGTGCCATGACTGAAAAAAGGTTGCGAAACACTGGTCTAGATACTGTAGAGAGGTACAATTGGTTACTGCTTAAGGTAGGATTAGGCCTACAGCAAAACAGGCAAGAGGGTACAGTTTAGAGCCATTACCAAACCACAATAAAAAAAGGCTGACGGAAATGATGAAAAAAATTATGAAAAGTCACACTTCTGAATCCTGGATCTGCTCCTGTAGTATGTTTCATAAAAAAATACAGCATGTTTCTTGTGTTAGAGCTGACCAACAGACTGCCCCACTGAATAGCATTAAATAACTTTTTATTCTAAAGCAACTTGAAACAAATGTAAAATGTTGTGCTTAAAGAAACCTGTGTTCAGATAAGTTAATAAACCAACCCCATTCAGTGATCGCATGCAGCGCCTGCAGATTCCACTACCTAGCTTTATTCCTACTCTGGTGTGCTGTGGAAGACCCTGAATTTCTGCAGCCTAGGTATCTTATCCCATAAGGCAACGTGGAGGTCCTCTTTATCTATTAGGGGCTCCCATCATTGAATTGTGGAATAGAGTTAGAGTGTGCCTATGCTGCAATTAAAAAAAAAAAAACTAGCAAATGAGTTTCAGGGACACACTGGAGCCTCATGAATCTCTATTCAAGGTTAGTTTATTAAAATTTATCTCAGGAAAGATTTTATGATAACAAACACAAACAGATTTTATGGTGCACATTTGTTGTGATAGTAGATAGTGGTAGATAACAAAGATTAAGAACACATATTGTACAGTATTAGTATATGCCGTTTACCAATATCAAAATATATGGAACTGTCTCATTATCAAAATCATATATAATGTCAAAGGACTCTCCAACAGAAGCCTCACCCCTTTCCTGCCTGCCCTCAGTAACAATACTTTCTGTGGGGGACCATACCTTTTTAAGAAGAACATTCCCATCCTTACCTCAGTGCATGTTTCCGTGGAATGCCATTATTGTCCATGGTAGTTGCCGTCCTCACTCCGGCACCTACCAAACTCTCTACTCTAATTTTAGTTACAGTAGAGCACAGGATGGGTTGTTCAGCATCTCTTGACAAACATAAACCTATATCCATCCAGCCTCTTGGCTTTTCTCTTGCAGCACAGCTGCTGCTCCAGCCTCAATCCTCAGGCCTCTATCCATTTCCTCCACACAGTTTTAAACCGTGCTAACCTGTACATTTGGTTCACAACTCGGAGCTCCCTGCTGCACTGGACTCCACTCTGATTCCTGGGTGAAGTCCTCCTTTTGCGCGAACGGACGAATGTTCGTACGCACATACGTAGCAGAATTGGCACAGTTGACTTTTCTGGTTGCTATGCTCTAGTCTTCACTATTAAAGAGACATTAAAATCCTTTTCTTAATTTTTTTTATCCGATTAAACGTTGATGGTGCAGGCACAGGAACATGAAGTAATGTTTTGTTTTTATCTTCACATGCTATGAAATCCTCTTTTTGTAGTCATTATTGTAAATTTCTAATTTCGTTTCCATTAAGACGAAATTTGTACTGAATCCGAAATTCCGAATCCCAAATTTCGGATCCGGAAGCTTTTGGATGAATTCAGACATGGTACATTTCGGAAATTCGGATGATCCAAATCCACGAATTTCCGAAATTTCGTCCCAATTTCGATTCGGAACGAAACAAATCGCACATGTCTAGTCACTACCAAAACATGGACCCAGGGTTGGAGGCTTCATCCTACTCAAGTCTCTCCCTCTGTAATATGCCTCCTGGAGCCTCTCCACCTCTACAGGTGAGAACCCTGGGTGCTCTTTAGACATTATTTTACCGTCAACAGGCCCGGCACTGTCACAATATACTCCACTCTTAGCCACAAGCTCTAATTCTTTACAAAGCTACAATATGTGCACACAGTGGCTGAATGGATAGCACTTCTACTTAGTAGCACTGAGATCCTTGGTTCATTTTGTATATTATTTTCATGTACACATACAGCTCGGTTAATGGGTTTCTGCCAAAACTGTCCCTAGAGCTTGTATGGGTGCCGTAGAGACTTTAAATGATAAACCTTTGTGAAGACCAGTGGAAATGGTAGCACCGTATTTACTCTGAGGAAGCCTTCCAAAATATATTACCGTTATATAAATATTGGGAATATTATTCATATATAAAACACAATATATTTTTAATAAAATTAAAGCTTCATACATACCACATCATTGTATTTTTCAATGTACTTGTACAGTTCCAAAATAGCCACGTCATCTTTAAATTCATGTTCATGTTTCTAAAGACATAATAAAAATACTAGTAAATGCAGGTGTCATATTAAAATGAATTAGTAGAGCCCATTCACACATCTCAATACTGTATATCACTACAGTCTACAATTTCTATGTCCTACATAAACATGTTTATATGTAGGCTTTTTCACTAGAGCAGCCCAAAGAGCAATGATGATGTGCAAAATTACTGCACTTTGCTTTGTGGCTTGTTAAATTTGTTGTGTAAATACTTGTTTCTAATAGAAATACAATGGTACTGCATAACACTGTTAAATCACAGGAACCCAAAATGCCAGACACACATTTTAAAACTATATCCAACAGTAAGAATGTACACATTTTCCTGACAACAAAAACTACAAGTAGCACCATTTGCATTTTACCAAATTAGCCTTGAAACTGCCATGAGAGCAAAAGCACGCCACTCTTTATTTATGGTTTAATATGATGGAACAATATCATTTGGAACAAATCAATACAATACTGTCCCATATTCATACACACTGTGGTAGTTACAGTGCATCTCAGGAGTTCCAAGGTAACCAATAGAGCCTTTGTTGTCACATGATAAAGAATTGTATTGTGCCCAAAACTAGGAGATGACAGATCTAGCCAATTTTAGCAGGATCAGACAACAAGCGCATGTCTATGGGAAGTGCCATATTTCATAGCAAATATTGAATGATCCTGTTAAAATTATGGTTATTGTTTCCTGCATGATAAACTGGCAGTGTGTGGCAATAGCTCCCACTTCTTTCGCCACAGCCTTCAAACGGGCTTGTTCAGTTTGCAGGTTTGTGGAGTAGCCAGCTGACAGACAAGCCCAAACCTAGTTGGATTGTGCCCCTTTATCTAGCCTCCTCAAAGTACCTTCAGTCATCCTTCAAACTGTAATTTATGTGGGTAGAGTGAACTCATGCTAACTGTTGGAAATGCAAAATCAAGATGTTTTCTCCAGATAGCTATCACTGGAGACAGTACCCAATCCACAGATAACAGCATTCTAACCTCCAAGTCATGACTGCACTACCTTGCCATGAGGATTCAAATGGACTCCACATACAGTTCATTAGGACAAAACTTTAAATAGAGGAATGGGGCTTCTTGCTTATCATGAAATTGTAGTTTTAGGAGGATGGTTGGCAATGCTAGTGTTGAGACAAGATATTAGGTCTCAACCAACAGAATTACTGGCAAAGTAATCAAATTCTGTTTTATTTGATGAGTTTAGGCTAAAATAAATGACAAGCTGGGCGTACTGAAAGACAGGAGCAGAGAAGCAAGGATTCACAATTTCAAGGTTTACCGTCATTATATAATACAGTCACAGTTTAGTAAATCATCAAACCTACATTTCTGAGTAAATAGCTGGGTTTTTTAGAAACAATTGAATATTTTTATACACGTAAGAGACACTAGCAATAAAAGTACATGTTCCATCTGTCTCACGACAGGTACTCGGCATTAATAATGGATTTTACAAAGAGATACATAGTATGATAACAGTAAGACACAGTTATACATTTGCATACAATTATCTGTCTTTTCTTTTTTAAAGCTGACTCTTTTATCTTAACAACATACAAATATTCATGTTATAACTGAAAGGAGCAAACCCTTGTTTGTCATAACATTCATGAAAGTACATGAAATTCATAAACACATTGTAATTGATACGCTATACAAAACTCCTTTTTATTTTATAGTGTAAGGCAATTTCATGATCGCCATTTGTTTACATAAATTTGATAGCACTGACAATATCACTGTGACAACTCATTGATATTAGCATGTAATACAGTGTTTCCATTATGTGTAAAATCAGTTTATATTACATTTATCCATTTAATAAAATACCTTTGATTCTGTAGTCAGAAATTCTGACAGCTCTGTGGAAGACAGTGGAGGGGCATCTCTGATGTTTTTATAATAGGATCTTATCTCCTCTTTAAACTGTGGGATGTCTTTTGCATAAAGCAGCTTGTTAGTTGGTGCTGACTGCAAAAGAAAATGCAATTAAATTTCTTTCAATACTAAAAAAAAACAAAATATATAAAGTGATAAACATATGCCTTAATTATTTCCTCCTTAAACATTCAAAGCTGACCAACAATAAAGACATAACAAAATAACATAGGGTCCCATTGCTACATTTTAATAGGGTCCCTATCATTGGTAGGTGGCCTATAATGTCGCCCTATTGACACCCACTAAACACTGGTGGTCAGAGGAAGGCCGCCTATAATACACTTCTCTAGGGGTCCCATCTTTGCCCACTAACACAGGTGGCCACTGTAACTGAACACTTAGATATAATATCCTGTGTGAAGGCCTACCTAAAAAATCATTCAAATTATATACAATCAGATAGCTGCCATAGTTGTTTGAAAATCTAGAGGACTTAGCAATTGCCTGTTGCTTATGTACATTTTAATAGCAAGCTTCGCCACTTTCCAGGCATAGTATTCAGACTAGATCATGAAAACCCCTGATAGGATACATTACCTTCCCTAATTGCTGCTCTGTAAGAGAAAATCCATCCATGAAAGCCTGTGCAATTACTGATAGGCAGCTTTCTAGAAGTGCTGTCTTTTTTATGTCAAGAACAAATTGTGGGTTCTTCAATATGTTGACCCAAAACCTCAGCGGAAGACTAAAAGAGTACAAATAGACAGATATGGTCTTTTAAGTAGACTGTTTTCAAAGATATATGATTATCACAAAACGCATTAGGAGATTCAGTGGAAGCACAATTCAAGCAAATCTAAATCTAAGGACAGGTTCTCATCTATCCATGTCCACTTCTGTACATTATAGTATGTTTTTTAGCATGCATTGCATAGATTGTTTGATGTTTTAATATGTGTGGCAATGCATGAAAACTCATTGAAACACACTATAGGTCTGTTGTCATGCATTGACATTGACTTTTATAAGTCTCCCAGTGCATGTGAATACACATTTTTTTCTTCTTTTTCAAAACACATTGCAACACAGCACAAAGATGTGAATAGGCGCAGGATAAAAACACATTGCAACACAGCGCATAGATGTGAATAGGCGCAGGATAAAAACACATTGCAACACAGCTCATAGATGTGAATAGGCGCAGGATAAAAACACATTACAACACAGCGCAGAGATGTGAATAAGCGCAGGATAAAAAAACATTACAACACAGCGCAAAGATGTGAATAGGCGCAGGATAAAAAACACATTGCAACACAGCGCATAGATGTGAATAGGCCCAGGATAAAAACACATTGCAACACAGCGCATAGATGTGAATAGGCGCAGGATAAAAACACATTACAACACAGCGCAAAGATGTGAATAGGCCCAGGATAAAAACACATTGCAACACAGCGCATAGATGTGAATAGGCGCAGGATAAAAACACATTGCAACACAGCTCATAGATGTGAATAGGCGCAGGATAAAAACACAGCGCATAGATGTGAATAGGCGCAGGATAAAAACTCATTGCAACACAGCGCATAGATGTGAATAGACGCAGGATAAAAACACATTGCAACACAGCGCATAGATGTGAATAGACGCAGGATAAAAACACATTGCAACACAGCGCATAGATGTGAATAGGCACAGGATAGGTTTCTGATTTAATATTAACGTTTGTATTGTTTATCCATGGTGCAATTTAATCATTACCTCTTTCTACTGATCCAGTCAAGGCTTCAATATACCTATTAGTGAACATACCTATTAGTCTTCCAAATGTGCAATATATCCGGGTCTGAAACCTTTCTTATTTCTCCCTGATTGTCCAAGAAATCAAAGTAGTATTTTATAGCTATCGGAGGTTTGTGAGAGATGGTCCAAATGCTGCGAAACAGTTTTTCTACAGAGGAATGTATGGAAACCTGCAATAGATAAGGGATTATTTGATGAGATGGGCAATAGAAGCAAGAGAAAATATTTTAGATCTGTGTTTGTACACACTATTACCAAAGTAGTAGTAGTTTCTGATACCAGGCTCAAAATAAGTTACTATGCAGTTCTTCTCTGACAATTGCAATGAAACTCATATGCAGGGAGCTGAACTGAAGTAATGTGTGTAATTTTATAAGTATTTTGCACTGTTGATAAAAAAAATTCCAAGTGCTGTTTAAATCTATCAGAATCAACTGCTGAAGCTTGTAAAACCCCTTCTGTGTTTGCAAAAACAAAATATATTTACTGTGACCCTCTGGCTGTAAAAATGATTACACCAGGAACCTGTGCAGAAAATTGTAACTTTTGTGCTCTATATGGTCACTAAGGTGTCTATTTATAAATAATTTGCAGGGCATTTTGCCCTGCAAATATCTTTGAACATTCGTTTCGGGTGGATAATGGCACAAACGAATGTTCTTAATTTATTTTTCCCACTTCAAATATAATCTACTAACTGACATATCAGTCTGGATGTCACAACACTTCTTAAAACTCAATCTTTGAAGAACTGAGCTCTTTATATTTCCTCCCCCAAGTGCACCTTCCCCCAACTTTTCCCTTGAGATTTATAACACAACTATCCATCCCTCCCCCCATGCCAAGGTCCTAGGTGTCATCCTTGACTCGGACCTCACCTTTCTTCCCCAGATCCAATCACTATCCAAATCCTGCCGCCTTCACCTTCGTAACATTTCCAAAATACGCCCCTTCCTCACCAATGACACTGCAAAACTACTCATCCACTCCTTTGTTATCTCTCATCTTGACTATTGCAACTCCCTCCTCATTGGCCTTCAACTACACAGGCTATCCCCCCTTCAGTCTATCATGAATGCAGCTGCCGGACTCATTCACCTAACCAACTGCTCAGTGTCTGCAACCCCCCTCTGCCAATCCCTACACTGGCTTCCAATAGCCCAAAGGATAAAATTCACAATATTAACAACAATTTACAAAACCATCCACAACTCTGCCCCCGGATATATCTCAAACCTTGTCTCAAAGTATAACCCTAACCGTCCCCTCTGCTCTTCACAAGACCTCCTGCTTTCCAGCTCCCTTGTCAACTCCTCACATGCTCACCTCCAGGACTTCTCTAGAGTCTCTCCCATCCTCTGGAACTCTTTATCCCTGCCTGTCCGTCAATCTCCCACCTTGACTGCCTTTAGGTGGTCCCTTAAGAGTCATCTCTTCAGGGAAGTATATCCTGCCTCAAACTAACCACTGAACTATCATGCTCTCAAAAAGTCCATCCCCACACAGCTACCTCCTCATGTACCACTTGCCCCTCCCTTTTAGATTGTAAGCCCTCAGGGGCAGGGCCCTCCTTGCCATCTTGTCTTGAATTGTATTGTAATTGTAATGTCCTCCTTATATTGTAAAGCGCTGCACAAACTGTGCTGCGATATATAAATCCTGTAATAATAATAATAGTGTTGTTATAATACATTATGGCCAATAGATGGAGTTTTTCAGTTTGAAAGTAGTTTGTTGTTGTATAAATACATTATGGCAACTAGACAGAGCTGGGGAGCATAGAAAATAATTATTTATTCCCAGTGCTCCGCAGCGCTAACTAATGGCCATAATGTATTATTATTACAAAAACAACACACTACAATTTAAATGGGAAACTTCATCTAGTGGCCATAATGTATCATCACAACACTACATTCAAACTGGAAAAAATAATATTGAGAACATTCATTTTATGCTTTCGCCCAAAATGAATGTTCACAGGGCAAGGGGCCCTGCAAATTGTTTATAAATAGACCCCTAAGTGTGGTATAGCTGAGAAGGTCTGAACTACTAAGAAATACTCATCTCCTATGATGCAATTAGGGCTTTAAATGTTTTGGTCTTGTAAGAGTTATGATGTTAGTAGACAGAATTTTCAGGGTTTTTTTTTTTTTTTATATAGCAAGGTTGTAGAAGATGCTAACAGTTTACTGATGTGAAATATCTCAAATGGTTGGAGTTTTGATAATTTGATAATGTTTAAGTCTACCTGAGAAGAACTCTGGCCCATTAGGGAGGTGGGGGCTGCAGTGTGAAAACGTATTGATTACAAGTCAAATTGATAGTATTTTGGGTCCTGACCATGTGTTCACTGCAGTGGCAGTGTTCTGGAATTCTGATGTCAGCAGATTGTTCTGTGAAAGTGAGTGATGGCAGCAGCCATAGTTTCAAGCTACTGTTAGTCACTAACATGACTGCTTGAAGTCAGTAAGGTATCACACAAACAGATGTTTCCAAGTGACAAGTTTAGTTCTGCTTTAAATGGCTGATTGTTTTCAACATCATCTCATTTTAAAACCATATTCTGTGTTTTGACTTGTGAGAATTGTAACAAAGTGGCTGAACAAGTGTAGCTATTAAAATACAACAATGTACCTTTGTAGACAGCAGTTTTGTCAGATACATTTCCTTTACTTTGAACTTTTGTTTGCCTTTATTTTCCATGTTTTGTAGATCATCACTTTCTTCAGATTCTGGCAATTCCTAGAAACAAAAATTTAATTTCTTTATATGTATCTTTGTATCAGCTTTTAGCCCATTGTGGACATGCCCTTCTTTATAGCAAAGAGGAATAAAGAGTGGAAGCCAATGCCGTGCAACAATTGAATGTTGTTATGCTGATCATACAAGTAACAAAACAATCGATCAACAAAAAATGGTTTTGGTGGATAAATCATACCTTTTAGAAGTCAACTATACTATTGGAGCTTTTAAAGGGAATACAACATTGGCCTTTACAGAATATGTAGTCAAATTCAAACAAATTGATCTTCCATTGAATAATTAGATTGACGATAAATTATTTTTTTCCTATGTGCATGGCCAGCATTAGGCTATGTGCAGAGGTTCTCAATAATGTTTTTGTCATATCCCCGCTTTGCAACTTTGGTAATTACCTACTCCCCCCACCCTGCCAGTACACATTTTTTTTTACAATTGTCTTACCTGTAGGTTTCTCACCTACATGTGGTGAAGGTATTATGACTAATATGTAGAAAACAAACTTTTTGTTTTTTTCTCAGAATTGTAGTAAGTGCTATTCTGGGTCCTGGAGCTCGGAGACTTTGTAGAACTTTTGATGGGATAATGCCCTTATTCCTTGGTCCACATTGTACATAGTAACCAACCCTGACATAATTCTTAGCTGTTGACAGGCTTTTCTATATATGAGCTGACTGACGCTCTCTTGCTGTCTCTGCTGTGGAAGCCTGCTGCGCGATGAAAAAGCTGATGGCTGACAGAACACTTAAATGGTACAAATGCTGCCTGTTTGTTTTAGGAAACCCATTAGAGGACACCCAGTTAGTCAGGGACTGACCTGAGCAGATGTTTTGTTTGTTTTATATTATGGACTATCTGTGCAAAGCCCTCCTGCATTTGTTTCCTGCACGTGTTTGCTGCCTTGCTTAATAAAAGTGCAGGACAAACCTGCTTGGACTGTTCCAAGTTCTGCTGCTTCAAAAGGGGAGCATGACAGAAAACGTTGCCCTGCTGATCTCCCTCTGATCAATGCGGGGCCTGCATGGGGGGCAGCATGCATTCCGCCGCACCGTGCAAGCGCCAGTATAGATTACGGATTGCTTGTATCTAAACAGCGATTGTCTGCTGTTTAAAATAATACAAAGAACATGGCTGCAGCAGCAGCTGTATTCTAGGTATAACCGCTTCAGGACAGGACATATTTTCACAATGTGAAGTCCTGAACCGCTTAAAAGATTTTATTGTCTAAAGCCTTACCACACATTCATCCACATATAATATGGAAATACTCAACATAAATGTTTATGACTTATTTAATCCATTATGCTTATACAAACTCTTAAATGATACAGTAAACCCTATAGGAGATGCCCACCACCTGCACATTAAACACTGCATGCAGGAGTATAGACTGTAACATGCAAAACCAGCAAAAAAGCCCAAACTGTAAATAAATTTCACTTGCAAGGTTGATGATGGCATTCCCCTGGCTGATAATACCTACTTAATCAAATAAACAAAGTGGATGAAGATACAAGAATCCAAAGTGCCTGTGAACAAGCAATTTTTACTTACCAAATGCACATAATCGCTGGAAAAATCGTTAACTGTAAAACAAAAATCAGATTCAGTATAAAGGAAGGTATTGGCAAGATGTGATTTTGTAAATATGTTCCAACCCCAGTCCTCATGTACCCTTCAAATCTTGTTCAACTGACATAACAGAAATACAGGTGCTACCTGGGGACTCCCACACTAACACTTTTCAGAAATGGGCTAAATTGTAGAGTATGAATAAGCCCATTTCTGGGTGAAACTATTTTGTGCAGGAAGTCCCAAGCTGGAGACTGGAGTCAAAAGCTGCATATACATTATTGCTTTCCTATACAAATACAGTCGGTATTGCTGGCTAGCAGGACTAATTGTTTTATGCCTTTGCAGTGAACTGCTACTTTTGTGTTCACATTCCTCCAGCCAAGATCAAGTTTAACATTAGACACAATAGGCTGGTGCCTATAGGCTACAGAAACAAAGAGGCAGCTTTTCATTGACCACATATTTTTTCCCCCCATGATCAGCAGAAATACATTTATATCATATAAACTTATTTAACTACACAGTTAGAATATTGTACGCCAGGTTAGCACCAATAAAACAAGAAAATGTTTTGTGTAAATTAGGTGATCCTATCAGAGAGAGGGATCTTTTGGAAATACCAGGCTATAAGTCAACAGGCTCCAGTAATGGGGAACAGGAATGGATCCAGCTAATTAGGCATAATTGCGAATCTGTCATTTAGCTTATGTGCATAGTCTAATTATTCATCCATCATGCTTATTTTGAACATCCATCCATAATCCACTCATCTGTTATTTCTATCTCTACATGTTTGGTAAAAATGTTAAATCTGATTAGTGAGTTACCTGGGTCACAGTTCTTTCTGATAATTATTTTGATTGTTGCACCATTCACTATCTGAAAAAAAGCATTCTTTTTAGATCAATAAGCATTATAGAAAGTCAAACACTGACATCCAAAACATAGTATATATTTATACAGTAAATGTAACATTTTTATAAATACTGTATATATACTGTATATGTATAATTTTAAAATGTATACATTTAAATATATGCAGTGCCTTCAGAACTCTACTATTATTATATTAAAAAGTTAATGTTTCTTTTTATATTCTACAATAGACATGTAAGCTGGCAAAAAATTTGTTTTGTTTATGATTTTTTTTTTCTTTCAGGATTTGGCTCTGAAAGATAATTTGTTTCATTATTTGGATACAGATCTTTCCAAATTTTTGTCTTATTTGCAGATGAGTTAAACATTAATTACGAATGAATGTTCATTGCAGAAAAGTGCTCTCAGTTGAATCGAAGTGCTGCTGTACAGGCTATTCACAATAGCCCGTACAGCAGCCGAAGGCGGCCGAGCAGCTCAGCCTAGCCGAAGGCATATGCTTCAGCTCGACTGAGCCGAAGTGACAGCCGAAGCAGTTGTAATGACAGATCACCTGTGGACGCAGATCTGTCATTAAACAATAACAAATTGGCGGAGCCGGATGTGATGTCACGGCCGGCTCTGCTCAGTTGTTATTCATTTGCCAGTACCTGCTAGAAGTTCGGCCCCTACGAGAATAGGGGCGAACGGCAGCGAGTCAGCTGCCGGAGCTGCGGCTCAGCTGATCCAGATTTGGATCGGCTGAGTAGAAGTCCCTCTGCACTTTGGCTCAGCTGAACATGCAGAGCATGTTCGGCTGACCGAAGGCAGTTGCACAAAGCCGATGTACGACTGAAATCAGCCGTACTGAGCCGGAGTGAATAGCACTTCGGCTCGGTTATTCACTCGGCTGCCTTCAGCAGCTTTGTGACTAACCCTGTAAATGTTTACTTTTTTTCTTTTTAAGTTTTGGCAGTCCACAAGAACATGAAGCAATATTTTTTTTTTAAACAGTGTGACCCCCCCCCCTTACCCATTCATACCAGGCTGCTGCTCAGATTAACCCTTCCGCTGCCAAGGACGTATGGCATACGGACCTACAAAAGTGCTTCCAGCTGGCCAGGTCAGTATGCCATACGGACCTGGCATTTACAGTTCTACTATAAGCTGATGGTCGCTTTAGCGACCATCAGCTTATAGTATAACTGTTCAGCAGACTGTCCCCTTTAAATTAATAGCTGTCATCAGCGGCTCAAGCTAGCAACGCAGCAGTTGAAAATCAAATCAATAGGAAAAAATTGCAGAAAATTCAAAAATGGCTTGGCCAGCTGATTTGAAAAATGTTCCGGAGGGCTTGGCAGCGAAAGGGTTAAGGGTCTGGTAAGATATTTTAGGGGGGACCCCACACTTTTTTGTGTTTTTTTGGCGTTGGGGTCCCCTCCAAAATTCCTATCAGACCTAAAGGGTCTAGTACGAAAAGGCTATTTTTTTTTATTTTAATGTGTAACAATAATTTATTCTGAAAACATTTTGGATGCATCCAAATTTTCGCTATCAAAAGTTTGGATACGTTTGGATTCGTTATTTCTTTCATTTGGAAATTTGGATGCATCCAAATGACCGAATATGCCGATATTCATCCGAATTTTAATTCGAAACAAAGCGAATCTTACATGTCTATTCTACAATGAATAAACCAAGGAAACTAAATTTTTCCATGATTTGCTAAAGGTTTTTGCTTCTAATAACCAGCTTGTCAATTGACAGATTCCTCCAGCTGTTTTTTTGACATTACACCACCCTAAATCAGGCATAATTTATCATTTTCAGTTTTTGCTTTTCTTTGCTTTTTTTCATCAGTTGGTCCACTTATCACTAATGGTAGTCATTTCATAAATTAACCTGAACTGAGTTTCAATCCAGAATGGCCCAATGGGCAGTGCATGGATTTTTAAGAAATGTGAATAACAAAAGTAAGTAAACTGGTATAGTGATGGAACCAATAAAACGGTTATATTTATTATGGGTAATGTGGCCCATGGCATTATGGTTGTACCACAATATCATTATCTTCTGTGGACTTCCTTATTAGGGCAAGTCCAAATAGGGACAATGGTGTAAATCTGAAAATCTCTTGATCCTTTCAGTCACCAACTAGACACCCCAGTGCATAAGAACAGGCTATAAACTTGTGAGGGGTCCAAAAAACTGTTTTGCTGTTCCTCTCCTAGGTGCTGTATTGATGAATAATCTGGCCCTGTAAAAGGGATTACATAGCTGGATTCCATGGATCATCATTGGAGCAGAAATGAAGAGTTTTACATTTTTAAAATGGAGAAAACATGTATTTGACCCCATTACCGTCACATGGAATAGGCCTATCTACTCAGCCCGCAGTGTCTGTCGATTCCACCCAGCCTCCCCAAACTTTAGTAAACTTACTAGGGCATCCCCTACTTTGATACGTAGCCTTGTAGAGGCTTAGGTATGAATTCACTAGGCCCTTCCAGTCCGATATAGTTGGAGGTGTACTTTGCCGCCATCGCAATATCACCAACTTCCTGGCACAGTATAACAAAATTCCCATGAAGGTCTGTCTCGCAATGGTAGGAGCCAGGTGTTCCGTTAGCCCTAGGAAACATGTATTTACATCAGGATTAAAGGGCTCATCAACAAATTGCGACATAAAATGGGTAACTTTGAGCCAGAATGGTCTGATTCGCGGGCAGTCCCACAAAATGTGGACGAGCCCGCCGGGTAATCCCACACATCCTCCCAGTCCTCATCCTTAAGCGT